TTCACTCAGCCTAGTTTAACTGCAAATACAATACATTTATGCATTCACAGGATCAAATTACACATACATCTCAATGATGACCGAGGCAAGTTCTTTAAAGCGAGGGGTGGTGGGGAAGCCTAGAGGTTAAAGTGTTTTCTCGTCACACCAAAGTGAGTGAGTGAGTTTAGTTTTACGCCGCTTTTAGCAATGTTCCAGCTATATCACGACAGGGGACACCAGATATGGGCTTTACATATTGTACCCATGTGGGGAATCGAACCTGGGTATTCGGCGTGACGAACGAACGCTTTAACCACTACGCTACCCCACCGTCCCTCACACCAAAGAACCAAGTTCCATTTCCTACATGCATACAATGGACGAAGCCTATTTCTGGTGTCCTACGTCGGGATATTGCTGGAATATTACGTATTGCAACAGTTGGGAATTCGCTTGGCCTGAAACCGTGTGTTGTGGCGCCTAGTAGATATCACCTGGGTGACACATGAGTGACAGCTGTCATGTGTGAGTGAGGATGTGGAGTGTGTGTTTCAGTCGCTGTACAGTGTGGTCCCTCCCCAGTGCTATCATCATGTCCACCACACGAGGCCCTTCATGAAACAAACAACTACAAATATCATCTGTGTTTCAGAGTCATTTGATATTTAACACGACAGTGGCATTGTTTCAGCCAAACACCGGAATGCGATTGTCTACATGTTTGAACTATTCATTCGTTGCGTTTTAATATTCCTGGTGTTGTACTGAGATGAAATTACATAGTCCATGTTGGGTTGGGTTTTCACGTTAATCACTTTGAAAAAAACGTGTTTGGTGGTGTAAATAATTGACGCTATGAACCTGTCTTTCACAAGCATGAACACAAATTGTACCTGGAGAAAGCATTAATGTAATTTGAAATCAATTTGCTAATTACTATCATCCAGCTGAACTTCCTGAAAGGAGTAGCTATTTGAAGTGAATCGCAAGACGCAGCTCGAGATTGTTGTTGACTTTGCCGATATGATGCTGTCGTGCCAAAGTTGGCATGAACGGTTCCCTGTGTTTACAGAGTAGATGATAAACGTCATAGCTCAACAAGGTTCCCTGTGTTTACAGAGTAGATGATAAACGTCATAGCTCAACATGGTTCCCTGTGTTTACAGAGTAGATGATAAACGTCATAGCTCAACATGGTTCCCTGTGTTTACAGGGTAGATGATAAACGTCATAGCTCAACATGGTTCCCTGTGTTTACAGAGTAGATGATAAACGCCATAGCTCAACATGGTTCCCTGTGTTTACAGAGTAGATGATAAACGTCATAGCTCAACATGGTTCCCTGTGTTTACAGAGTAGATGATAAACGTCATAGCTCAACATGGTTCCCTGTGTTTACAGAGAGTAGATGATAAACGTCATAGCTCAACATGGTTCCCTGTGTTTACAGAGTAGATGATAAACGTCATAGCTCAACATGGTTCCCTGTGTTTACAGAGTAGATGATAAACGTCATAGCTCAACATGGTTCCCTGTGTTTACAGAGTAGATGATAAACGTCATAGCTCAACATGGTTCCCTGTGTTTACAGAGTAGATGATAAACGTCATAGCTCAACATGGTTCTCTGTGTTTACAGAGTAGATGATAAACGTCATAGCTCAACATGGTTCCCTGTGTTTACAGAGTAGATGATAAACGTCATAGCTCAACATGGTTCCCTGTGTGTTTACAGAGTAGATGATAAACGTCATAGCTCAACATGGTTCCCTGTGTTTACAGAGTAGATGATAAACGTCATAGCTCAACATGGTTCCCTGTGTTTACAGAGTAGATGATAAACGTCATAGCTCAACATGGTTCCCTGTGTTTACAGAGTAGATGATAAACGTCATAGCTCAGCATGGTTCCCTGTGTTTACAGAGTAGATGATAAACGTCATAGCCCAACATAGTTCCCTGTGTTTACAGAGTAGATGATAAACGTCATAGCTCAACATAGTTCCCTGTGTTTACAGAGTAGATGATAAACGTCATAGCTCAACATGGTTCCCTGTGTTTACAGAGTAGATGATAAACGTCATAGCCCAACATGGTTCCCTGTGTTTACAGAGTAGATGATAAACGTCATAGCTCAACATAGTTCCCTGTGTTTACAGAGTAGATGATAAACGTCATAGCTCAACATGGTTCCCTGTGTTTACGGAGTAGATGATAAACGTCATAGCTCAACATGGTTCCCTGTGTTTACAGAGTAGATGATAAACGTCATAGCTCAACATGGTTCCCTGTGTTTACAGAGTAGATGATAAACGTCATAGCTCAACATGGTTCCCTGTGTTTACAGAGTAGATGATAAACGTCATAGCTCAACATGGTTCCCTGTGTTTAGAGAGTAGATGATAAACGTCATAGCTCAACATGGTTCCCTGTGTTTACAGAGTAGATGATAAACGTCATAGCCCAACATGGTTCCCTGTGTTTACAGAGTAGATGATAAACGTCATAGCTCAACATGGTTCCCTGTGTTTACAGAGTAGATGATAAACGTCATAGCCCAACATGGTTCCCTGTGTTTACAGAGTAGATATAAACGTCATAGCTCAACATGGTTCCCTGTGTTTACGGAGTAGATGATAAACGTCATAGCTCAACATGGCTCCCTGTGTTTACAGAGTAGATGATAAACGTCATAGCTCAACATGGTTCACTGTGTTTACAGAGTAGATGATAAACGTCATAGCTCAACATGGTTCCCTGTGTTTACGGAGTAGATGGTAAACGTCATAGCTCAACAAGGTTCCCTGTGTTTACAGAGTAGATGATAAACGTCATAGCTCAACATGGTTCCCTGTGTTTACCTAGTAGATGATAAACGTCTTAGCTCAACATGGTTCCCTGTGTTTACAGAGTAGATGATAAACGTCATAGCTCAACATGGTTCTCTGTGTTTACAGAGTAGATGATAAACGTCATAGCTCAACATGGTTCCCTGTGTTTACAGAGTAGATGATAAACGTCATAGCTCAACATGGTTCCCTGTGTTTACAGAGTAGATGATAAACGTCATAGCTCAACATGGTTCCCTGTGTTTACGGAGTAGATGATAAACGTCATAGCTCAACATGGTTCCCTGTGTTTACAGAGTAGATGATAAACGTCATAGCTCAACATGGTTCCCTGTGTTTACCTAGTAGATGATAAACGTCATAGCTCAACATGGCTCCCTGTGTTTACAGAGTAGATGATAAACGTCATAGCTCAAAATGGTTCCCTGTGTTTACAGAGTAGATGATAAACGTCATAGCTCAACAAGGTTCCCTGTGTTTACAGAGTAGATGATAAACGTCATAGCTCAACATGGTTCCCTGTGTTTACAGGGTAGATGATAAACGTCATAGCTCAACATGGTTCCCTGTGTTTACAGAGTAGATGATAAACGTCATAGCTCAACATGGTTCCCTGTGTTTACAGAGTAGATGATAAACGTCATAGCTCAACATGGTTCCCTGTGTTTACAGAGTAGATGATAAACGTCATAGCTCAACATGGTTCCCTGTGTTTACAGAGTAGATGATAAACGTCATAGCTCAACATGGTTCCCTGTGTTTACAGAGTAGATGATAAACGTCATAGCCCAACATGGTCCCCTGTGTTTACAGAGTAGATGATAAACGTCATAGCTCAACATGGTTCCCTGTGTTTACAGAGTAGATGATAAACGTCATAGCTCAACATGGTTCCCTGTGTTTACAGAGTAGATGATAAACGTCATAGCTCAACAAGGTTCCCTGTGTTTACAGAGTAGATGATAAACGTCATAGCTCAACATGGTTCCCTGTGTTTACAGAGTAGATGATAAACGTCATAGCTCAACATGGTTCCCTGTGTTTACAGAGTAGATGATAAACGTCATAGCTCAACATGGTTCCCTGTGTTTACAGAGTAGATGATAAACGTCATAGCTCAACATGGTTCCCTGTGTTTACAGAGTAGATGATAAACGTCATAGCTCAACATGGTTCCCTGTGTTTACAGAGTAGATGATAAACGTCATAGCTCAACATGGTTCCCTGTGTTTACAGAGTAGATGATAAACGTCATAGCTCAACATGGTTCCCTGTGTTTACAGAGTAGATGATAAACGTCATAGCTCAACATGGTTCCCTGTGTTTACAGAGTAGATGATAAACGTCATAGCTCAACATGGTTCCCTGTGTTTACAGAGTAGATGATAAACGTCATAGCTCAACATGGTTCCCTGTGTTTACAGAGTAGATGATAAACGTCATAGCTCAACATGGTTCCCTGTGTTTACAGAGTAGATGATAAACGTCATAGCTCAACATGGTTCCCTGTGTTTACAGAGTAGATGATAAACGTCATAGCTCAACATGGTTCCCTGTGTTTACAGAGTAGATGATAAACGTCATAGCTCAACATGGTTCCCTGTGTTTACAGAGTAGATGATAAACGTCATAGCTCAACAACGATATTAAAGATTGCTTGTTTGTTTGATGGCCTGCTCGTTTGCTCGTTTGTTGTTTGCTCTCTCGTTCGTACATTTAACGTCGTACTCACCAATATTCCAACTATTTGACGGAGGCGTGTAAATATTCCAGTCTGGATCAGGCAATCCAGTGATTAATATCATGAGCATTGATCTGCGCATTTGGGACAGGATGGCATGCACCAAGCAAATCAGCAAACCTGACTACCCTTCTCTTACAAGTATGGGTTGTTGAAGACTAATTGTAACCCGGATCTAAAAAAATTCAAATACTACATATTACTTACTAGCATGTACAAATCAGTGCGGTAGAATCACACAATACATATTTTATTCCTAACATACTTACAATGCAAAAGACACTCATTTAATGTTTTATATTAAAAACTATTATTCGCAGTATAATTGCTAAAAATATGAATTCTTGGATTTTTGAAGCGATAAGAATAATGTGATGGTATATGAACAAATGTCATAGGAATAACTTAAAATATCAACAAACAGACCACATTTGTATTCTGCGTGTTTTATTGAGTGACATTCAAATAGTGCAAGAATTTCAATGTGATGCAATGGACGTTGGTGTTTGCATCAGTAGTACAAGACTTATAACATGACAGAGGCTCGGTCACACTGACAATATAGATTGAAGCTAACGAGAGAAAGTACATAGGACGCTGCAACAATTGTTATATCTTACGCTTACTACGTGCACGCCTTCTTTAACACATATTACGAGGAATCAGATATCAAAGCTTGAATTAATTGTTGGGTGATCGAGCTGTCGTAATGGGGCTCCTTTCACGAAGGAAGCTTTACTAAGGTTAACCTTAACTCCCATTCTTTAACATTGCACTAAGGTTACATTAGTGACTTACGATCACCTTAGTGATTTGTGAAATGAGGCCCTGGATCAGTCAACTGAAAAGTATATCTCGTAGCAAGTTTGAGTTGAGGAGCCCATCTTGATCCTTATGCGGTAGTCTCCACTTGGAACCGTGGACAGGTTGACTTCAAACTTAGTGGTTGGAAGTGTGTAGTTTCCCTGAAATACAAATGGAAATAAAAACGAAACTGGATGTGATATGTAACGAAAAGGAGACAAAACCCATTCCATAATGAGAAGAGATGAGTATACTGTACGATTTCGTAAGTCTGCATGTATGAGTCACTACCAAATAGTACGGGGCGGTGGGGTAGCCTAGTGGTTTATAAAGCGTTCAATATTAACCCTCAAGACCCATGTTCGAATCCCCACATGGGTACAATGTGTAAAGCCCATTTCTGGAGTCCCCCGCCGTGATATTGCTGGAATATTGCTCAAAGCGGCGTTAAACCATACTCACTCAATCACTCCCTCACTCATCGAGAGTAGCTGCCTGGGTCAGGATATCAAATTGAACTGTCTAAATAATCACGAAATGGGTTTCTTGTTGGTTTTATCATCCAATTTAACGGGGGCGGTGGGGTAGCCTTGTGGTTAGAGTGTTCGCTCACACCGAAGACCCTGGTTGATATGAGTGCAATTTGTGAACCTACACTAGACGCCAAAAGAAAGGTTACCCTCCTACCTTTATGAATTACTGAAAAACTATCGAAGATGTTTTAGGTTTTAGCTTACAAGAAAGCTCAACAACACAGTTTAATGCAAAGCACGAAAATAAATTCTCAAATGCATTCATATTTAGGTGAAATGCATCTTTTTCAGAAGATGTTATATTGTCCTATATTCGTCAATACCGAAATAAACCAATAATAAGGATTTTGATATCCAAAAGAAAGGTTGAAATACAATTCTGCTACTAACCAAGAAACAACTGTTGCAGAGTGTGAAAAATTGTAAAATAATCATTCCTATGATTTCAGTCTTTTAAAACATTTTCTGCTGTTTTACATTCGTGAAAACAAGTAAAACGTGTCTTTGATATTGTGAAAACATGTTTAGGAACATCTAAAATTATCTTTGTTAACATTTTTCCTTGCAAAGTAACATTTTTCCATTTTTTTGTTTACACATAGCAATATCAATCGCCAAAACGCAGCAATATTCAAGCAGTATTTACATCGATTTCACATGTAGAATGGTCCTATAGGGTACAAAGAGAGCCAAGATGATCTGATACGAGAAATATGCCACGATTAACAGCTGGAGGGAGTAAAAGAGCCATTGGGGCGGTGCCGATTGGGTCGACTTACAATGCTGTTGCCAATGCCCTCGGATACCACCGTATAAGGATTATAAGACTTATTCAGACAGACTAGGGTCACCGTCCACAGACCAACAAGTGGACGTCCACGCATCACAACGCTAGCTGAAGATAGGTACCTCCGTCATTGAGGAAGGAGGGTAACGTTTCGTTTGGCGTTTAGTGTATTGTTGATGCCCCGCCCGACTCCAGTGTAACAGTTTGTGGAAATATACTTTTATACTTCACTCTACACAGTTGTTCTAGAAACATATGCGTTGTAAAGAATATGTTGAAAATGCAATCAACACTTACAACTGGGAAGGGACACTTGCAGGGTATTTTGTTTTTTCTGAAAGCTTGTGGACACGGGATTCGTTCCAGCAACCCACAGAAGTCTCTGTAGCTACATGAACCCATGTTGTGCCTGCTTGGTGCTTCTATCGACATGCCCATGACCTTCTTCCACAGGGTTTCGTCGGTCTGGGGAGAAAACATGCAAGACATTCTATTTTCACCCATATCAATTCTTTCAACATACGGTAGCCTAGTGGTTGAAGCTTTCGCCCTCACACTTCTTTTAATATACGGAAACGTCAATAGAACAGCGTGTCAGTAAGCTCTGAACGGGGATTGTTAATGTAGGTTACCGAAACTGTAGCTTTTCTGATTGTTTTCTGTCTTAGATTTATCGTCGGTCAGTATTAAATTTGGCATCTTAGGAAAATAATATACTGTTCGCTCTAGTACTATGTATAGTGTGATAAAGCACACTTTCGCCCTGATCTAGTATAACGTTAAAGTACTCGGACGTAAGCGCCCTCATGCTTAAACTATAATAGTTCAGGGCGAAAGTGTGCTTTATTACACTATACATGGTGGTAGAGCGAACTGTATTTCTTAAAAATAGCTAACATACTGCCGAAGTGACTCACTGTAAAACTGGATCGTGGTATCTCAGTGGGCTCACACAGTGAAAGTGGAGTACGACAAGGAGTCACACACCAACCTACCTTTTAATGTATGACTTTATATACGTGCAAACACATCATTAAAATCTTTTTCGCTGCAACCTTGTTCTATCTGAGAGTAAGAGGGGCCATTATAAATTGCCGGGAAGAAGTGATTTAACAGGATTTATGTATCTATCTTGCACATGGAACGACATGGGTGTATTTCTAATAGTCCTTTCATTCACAAATGCTGACATGATACCTTGATGGGTGACTCGGCTCTTTGCAGGTTCACAACCTTGAAAGCAACTTGTATTTCACCCGGAAGTTCGATGGGGTCGGAAGATATGTCTAGGTCCAGTATTTGTGCGGTTTCTGTTGAAGGATGTCCACAGTCATTGTAGGAGAAAGAGGTTAGCTTTTATCTCAGACTGAGGCCCTGTAAATACAATGGAGTTAAATCTGTACTGTGAATATTTTATACGCCAATCAAAGAAGTTATAGAAATCTAAAAAGTATAAATATGGAAATATGGAAACAAATCACAAGGAATGAGATAGTTTGGTTTGTACTTTTAGCAATATGACATCAGGTGTTCCGAGGTGACATTGTACCCGGGCATTCGGCGTGACGAGCCAAACCGAAACATGAGTCTCATTAACCCATTCAGACAATGACTTACTTTTCAGCCGATCCGAATTTTCTCGTGTGAAAGTGAAAAGAGACACCACAAACAACTATGGTTACATGAGTAAATTTGATAACATCGTATTTCTATATGTTATGTCGAGGTGTGGGCAGCATGACCTTTACTAAGACGTCACAGACTGCCTCTGTTTGATGAGGTCGTAAAATGATTCACAATTCATCTGGCTCACTGGTTACATCTGTTAAATGTTATTTGCGCTTGTGAAGTGTGGTTTTGTACCGCATAATGTGATTGATATAATATCAAGTCCGTACCAGACCGCCAAACGTTTCTAGCGGCAGAGCCTCGTTTTGAGATTTCCACGATTTCCAGATTTCTGTTTGTGAGAGCACGCTGTGCGACAGAGCACGGTGCACGACGTGTTTGCGATCGAGGATTAGAAGGAGCGTAGTTTTGCAATATACAAGTGCTTAGATGTATGAAATAATACTGATTAATATTTATGCATCCAGTTTGATGAATTGGTCTCAAAATTCTGGACTGGTTATTGTACTAAGTTGCGCAATAGGACGGAACCCAGTCAGCAGGAAACGAGACTGTTGTGTAATCAATGTTTTAGAATATTGGCCTTCAGTAACCCATGCTTGTCGTAAGAGGCCACTGAAGGGATCGGGTGGTCAGGCTCGCTGACTTGGTTGACACATGTCATCGTATCCAAATTGCATAGATCGATGCTCATGCTGTTGATCATTGGATTGTCTGGCCCAGACTTGATTATTTACACACAGCCGTCATAAAGCTGGAACGTGGCTGAGTGTTGTAAATCAACAAACAAATAATCAAACTTTGCTCTATCTACTTTTCAGCGAATCATACAAAGAATCTGGAAACATAGCCAGGATTTAACTACACTTTCATTCTGTAATCAGCTGAGATCCAGAAGATCATACTGCAGCGTCTAACAACAAACAAGCTAAACAAACCTTCCTGGTATCACCAACAGGGGAAATATTTCCAGGTTTTCTATTACAAGTGTCTGTGACGTGCAATAACCCAACGCCTGAATAGTCAAAGGAGGAAATAGTGACTGGGTTAGACAAAGATTTCAAACTGCTGTGTCGAATGTCCAACAGAGATACCACGCAGGTCAGGCAACGCCTATTTCACTAACATATCCATCCATTACACGAGTGAGTGAGTGAGTTTGTGCGTATGATTGTCAGCCGCTTTAAGCAATACTCCAGCCATATAAAGGCGGGGAACACCTGAAACCGGCTTCCCACATTGTACCCGCGTGAGGACTCGAACTCGGATCTTGGGTGTGACGAGAGAACGCTTTCACCACTAGGCTATCCCAACGTCACTCCGTCGGTATAAATACGTCCAGCCTTTCAAAACGTTGAACCGTGTGCAAACTAAGCATCATGTCGGAAAGCGCACGTAAAATCTCCAAATCATCATGATGAGAAGGTGGTCAAATGTTGGGTGTTATATTTGGGACTACAGACGCGTGCACAAAGTACATACACTAGACAATGCAATGCCGGACCTCCAGGAAGCCAGATTGCAGACATTTTGTTCTGGGGATTTCCGGTCTCACGCTGAGGGTACATACAGTTTTGAACCCCGGATGAGACACACTCCCAAAAGGTCTAGAATCTGCACTTTACTAGGAAAGTGTAATCCCCAGTGTTTCTCCCTTGCTGTAGTTTAGGATCTTTATCCTTAATTTCCAGACCCTCCTTGAGGAATATGAAACAAGAATATCCACATTCGGTTATCCAGTGTATAATGTTCTCGGGCCTCTTGGGATGTTTTACCCGTGCAGATCCGGGTTAGAATTAATCTTCAGCAACCCATGCTTGTCGTACTTTTAAGAGGCGACTAACGGGATCGGGTGGTCAGGCTCGCTGACTGGGTTGACACATGTCATCGTATCCCAAATGCGTAGATCGATGTTCATGCTGTTGATCACTGGATTGTCTGGTCCAGACTCGATTATTTACAGACCACCGCCATATAGCTGGACTATTGCTGAGTGCGGCGTAAAACTCAACTTATCACAGCGTATTAAAAACAATGAGATCAATATCGAATTAAAACAGATCTGAAGTGCAAAGACACAGATCGATGAGACTAGTTCCCTCCCTTGAATAACACCCAGGAGGTGATTGATGCTTCTCCCTTTCATCATGTGTAAACACAAGGTTTTACATGGTTCAATAAGGTCAATTCCAGATAAATTTGTCCCACAATCTTTGCCATTTCTTGGTATATTAAATATATCATCGACGTAATCCATATCTTCAAGTGATGGTATATGGACTGTCATCATCTGTGTAATCTTGTATATGTCCACATCTAGCATACATATCTCCTACAATTATCATTGATGGAATACTGACGGATGTGTCAGATATTTAAATGCAAAACATGCAGTTTTCCACGAAATCAATCCTATTTTGTGGTCTGGTATAACCTTTCACTTTCACTGATGAATTGAAGGGATGTATATACACAAATCCCAACTTTGTAAATCTTTAAATTGACACAAACTGGAACTGTCTCTATAGTTAGTATACACTTTATGGCTCTGAAAACAACTTTCAGTATCAATATCAGGGCAATAATTCCAAATCTCAACAAAACCAAACACATCAAATGTCATACAAAATGTTACAAAATCAGTATCTGCCAATTACGATTTCAAACCACACACATTCCACATAATGAAATTTAGTGTCTCGTGATGTTGTTCTAACTGGGTGGGGCCAACTTGCCAAACGACAGGTTCGATGACACCAGGTTTTAGGCCTTGTTTTATTATAACAAGGGAGTCAGTAGTGAAGTCATACGTGTATATGTTGTTTTCTACAAACAGTTTGCCATAACGCAAGTACGACAGACAATTTCCTTCCCTTGATTTAATCATGTATGGTAGTAGGAACTTTCTGTCTTTCTTTTCTGTCACACTATCGTGGAAAAATCATCACTAACAGTTCAGTTTTTTGGCTGCTTTCAGTATATCATACTTATCACTGTCATTGGTAAGTTTCTTTATGATGCCCTTCCCGCACATTACATTGTGAGCCCGCTGAATGTGTATGTCTGCGTCGTCCATGTCCATCTTGTCCTTCAGCACTGACTGCACAATCTTCTCACAGTCACCCAGGATCCTTTACCCTGAGCTCTGGGGACTCCATGAAATATCAAGTTATTTCTTCTGCTTTGATTTTCAATATAATCAATTTTGTCGTCTAACTTGTCAACGGCTTGTCTGAGTGCAAGGTTTCTGCTTCCAAACTATGACAGCGTTCATTTACATCTGATAGTTAATCACACACCTTCGTCAATGTTGACTCCATAGACACCATCGTCTCTGTCATAGTTACATGCGAAGCCTGCAGATTATCTCATTTTGTTGACAAATGTTAAGTTCATCGAGGATAGTTTGAATATTTTTTGTCATTCACCTGTGTGGTTATTTTCAACTGTTTATGACTTCCTTAAGCACCAATATTTGCTCTGGTATCTGTACTCGCTCTTCTGTATCAGGGCAGGGATTCGACTCCACACACGATCGTAAGAGGAGCGCAAACAATAGGTTCAAAACAACCAGTCGTGTGTACACCTGCACCTGCCCTATATCGGGGTATTCTCGACATTGCATGTTTGCGACTTATCCTTGTCAATATCTTAATCAATACTGGCGCAAAAGTTCCAATACTTGCTCGGAACTGTTTGTGAGATATTCCAATGTTGACTTGACCAATACAACGATCTTTATGTTTTGGGATCTTGCTCTTTTAAGCCTTTTGGCAGTCACTGTAACTGAGTTGTTTACTCCGCCATG